GGATATATCTATACCGCAATTAGTATCGGCCGTCTACTTAGAGAAAATGGGCGCGCAGCAGTATTCTAGACCGTATCCCAGCAGGAAAAACAACAATGTTGATTGAAGCGCATTGGAAGGTTTTGAAACGTAATCATTTGCACCAATTCAACCGAGCACGACTAGACTTGCTCGTATACATGATTGTTGCGTGACATTTCCCTAATCTTCGTCACAAGTTCAACTGTGATACTGTTCGTTCTCGCTCTGCGACCTGTTGGCATCAGATGTTTACCCGTGTATGGAAAAAGCTGTATGGCCGAACAGAAAATTTAGCAACCGAGACTATGAGGCTCATTCCATAACAATTAATCTTACTGTAAGTAAATTAATTTTAGTTATTCCTTTCACAGTCAAGCTAGCCTTCGTCCAAGTATTCCTTAGCTAGAGGAGAGAAATGCTCACTACCGTTGCACTACCCATGAAATAAAAAAGTTTTTATAAAACTTTATTAATTCTTAAGAATTAAAAACATTTATAATAATTAAAAAATCTAAGAATTAAAATTCTTGATTTTTTTAAATTATTATAACATTTTTATATTCTTATATTATAAGGAATTAACTATAAACAATAATATAAGGATAATTAAAAATTATCTCTTATATTTAATTGTTATAGTTTAATTCCCTATCTACCAGCCATCGGTCAATAATTGGATCTGTGGCTGCAGCAGTTATCTATCAAGTCGGTACATAATTTGCAAGCATCTTGTCTTCTGTTCTGGTTTTGGGCAGATTGCCCCCAAGACATTCTTTATTCCACGGCAAAGCACAATCCCCTTTGTTCGCATACGACCAGTAGGCTAACAGTAAGTTATCTCTATTCTGCCTATCAATTAAAGCACTGATATTATTAACTTCTTTTATTAATATGCATCCACTACTATCCTTTCATTACTATTTTGCTTATCCGCATACCAGCTCTATGAAAATGTTTTCAAAGATATGGCGCTAGACGAGCATCTTGCCGATCATCATCGTTCACGAGTTGCTGCCGCCATTGTCACTACTACACGTACTACCACTACTAACGCTACTACAGCTACTGTTACCACTACCGCTCTGCCGTAAGCAGACAGTGAAGAAGAAGACGAACCACTTATTTTGAGAATCGTCAATCTCATGTACAAACACAACAACAATCAAATATCATTGATTTGACCGAGACAATCATCGATGATCAAGAGCATCAGCACCTGCGTTGGGAGCGCCAAATGCAGCGTCTCCGTGCCCGTCAACAAGAGTTGATAGCGCAATTACAACAAACAGCGGAAAGTTTTGAATCTGCTTCGGCACACTATGAGCGTGTTGTGTCCATCGAGCAGTATCAGGACTTCTAACAGTCACTGGATGACGATGCAGTCGATGCCTATCTCGAAGCCAACATCACTTTCTGAAGAAGATGCAACTTGCCAAGAACGTGGCGCGGTTACAATCGCCATACACGCCATATATAAACACAAACAACTCTCACTTACACATATACACCTCCCATAGACACATGCATATTTGCTTTAACTATTATTATCTTTCTCTAAACATATCTCTTTTTCTGATCTTTTATGACATCGAATGGTTATAGGTAGGTGATTTGGGTATCGTAATGATGTGACGTTTTTTTTACTGGGTATATATTTACCCGGTTCAGGTCTACGAGTTTTTTCAGCAGCCCCAAGAGCTTATCTTTGTTCTGTATTGTTGGTGTAACAGTACTGTAACAGTCTAGTAGTAACCCCCAAATCCTTACCCCCAAATATAACTTAGTCACACATGAATATCTACATCCCTATCTTGAATAAAGTTACAAGCAGTTGGTTTTCACTCATACTTTTACAAGTACCAACCCGTGTCCAGTACTCAGCTATGCGCTGCGGGCTACTGAACTTATCAGGAGGGAGCCAGCTGTCATCTTTTTCATCATAGCCTTCCCATCGAATTCTGTATAGGTAACTTCCACCTGACAGTTCTTTGTGGTCTACTACTGCTTGAACAGTGTACCAATTTTTTCCTTCTTGGCGTATCTCATCAAGTGAAACAATTTCGTCTTTGGAAATTAACTTGAGTTGTGAAGGAGGAAAATCTCTAGGCATTAAAAGTCCTTGTTCATCCATAATAATAACGTATGATCCGCCTTTTGTTTCCCTGACTACAGTATATGGTCCTTCATAAGCTGGAGCTAATTTCCCACCGCGTTTCATATCCCTAATCATCACTTTGTTGTGCATGGGAGATTTTACTAATCTGTACTTTATGTCAAACTTGCCCTTCTTCAAGTTGTTTCTGGCTTGTACTCTTTCAGTGATAGCTGGGAATACAACACCTGCTATTTCTTCAATGCGTCCTAGTAGCTCATCATTTTTCATTGGTCTCAGAACATCATCGTTGGCATAATTTTCAAAACTATTCATTGCTCGTGCAAACATTAGAGTGTAAGGTGAGGACCTATGTAGCTCTGTTAGTTTGGCGTTGATGGTGAGTTGTGACACCGGGACGTATATATCCCAATCGCGTATAGCGCCTTTGATCATTTTGCATAGCATGTTGACTGCTGTTTGTACGTGGCGTTCGGTTTAGCCATTGGCTCTAGGGTGAACCTTCATGACTAGGCGATGAGAGAACCCTGCTTTCTCTTCCATCGTTTTCATCAGTTGGTTCACGAATTCCGTACCATGATCAGATTGTAAAAACCGCGGAAAGCCATAGTTACAGAATACGTCGACAACGACGCTTGTAATGGTTTCATACGTTTTGTCGGGAATGGCGCATAGAACAGTAAAACATGTGCAGACGTCGACCATGACTAGTAAATAATTATTATTTCAATTGCTTGTCTCTAACGGACCAGCTAAATCAATTGCCCAGTGGTCACCTAGAAGGTACGCAAAAATAGGGTGAGAAGAGTGATAACCCTTTTTAACGATAAAGTACTTTTGACACTCTGAACATTTCCGAGTGACTTTGACCGCGTCTTTATTTATAGCAGGCCAGTGTACAGTCATTTCAGAAAGTAAAGTCGCTGATTTTGAGTTTGATGTCGCACCAAAAAATTGCCTGTCCAACAACAATGTCAACTGATCCAAAAATAAAGACGCATTCACATAACATGAACTTCGTTTATTTCTACTTGTCGCTTAGTAATTATCCAATAAAAATTCTTAGCATTTTATTTTTATAAAATAGGCACGATTTTCTTATTGCTTCCTTTTGCGTTTCTTTTACCTATTTTTGTTTATTTTACAGACATTCAGAATGGATATGCAAATTTTTTATGAAGATGGACAAGGACATGTTGTTATTGAGAACGGAGTTGAGCCCTTGGATCTTGTTGTTGACGAGGAGTTATTCGCTAGCGAAACAATAAGTTCTCGTACGTAATTCCTAGCAAATAAACCTCCTGAGAGACCTCATAATCCTGTAATGCATGTCGTTGCAGATGAGAGGAGCAGTGAGCATGTTTATATGGAGCAATGCAACAAGCGCTGCTATAAAATTTATTCTGATGAAGATAAAACTCGATTTTTTCATTTATTTTTCAGCAAATGCTTGAATGCTTCTTCTGCTGCGAGACAATTAGGTATTCATATCCGAGCAGCACAGAGATGGGTCAAACGCTATTATGAAGATCCTGAAAGAATTTTCGAGAAGAAGAAAAAGTTAGGCCGGCGTCGTATTCTTGGAGAAGAGCATAAGCAGTTTCTTTTAAATTACATTGATGAGAATCCTTCTGCTGTTGTAACTCAAGTATCAAAAGTTTGACACAAAACTTTGTGGATCTTAGTGTTTCTCGTAGCACTATCTATAACTTCATGACAACTGAGTGTAATATATCTATTAAGCAGGCACAATTCTAACCTGTAGAAAAAAAAAATTCAACAAAGGTACAATTGGGTACAAAAGTAGCAACAAACTGATATGGATTTCACAACAAATTGCGTCTTTCTTGACGAGTCAGCCTTTCATATTAACGTGAAACGAGGCATGGCTTGGTCAAAGAAGGGAACTCCTGCAATAGTTACAGTGCCTACAACGAAAGCGAATGCAACATCGATTTTAGGTGCAATATCTGCCACTGGTTTAATTAATGTTAGTTTGAGAGTTCCAAAGCGCATTAAAAAGAGAAAGCTTAGACGCGAAACTGATGGTTATAGCATAGGAACAGTGACAGGACATTATTTGAGCTTTTTAAAGGCAACTCTAGATGAAATGGATAAGTATCTATAATTGAAAGGACATTATCTTGTCATGGATAATGCCGCTATTCATAGCTCAACAGATATAGGGAAATATATTCACTCTAGAGGTTATCGATTTGTCTACCTTCCTCCATACTGTCTAGAACTAAATCCAATTGAACAGTTCTAGTCGGTTGTCAAGAGCAAGGTTAAGCGAAATAAGTTCCTGGAAAAAGAATCGCTCATGACTAGGATTAGTGAGGCTTGCGATAGCTTGTATCTGAGTGATTTCAGGCTTTGTTTCTCATTCTGCCAAATGTTTTGGCAAGTGTCTCAATAAGGACAGGTTATAAAAAAATAGCAAAACTAAATAAAAAAAGATGGTCAGACAGGTTAGATTGGTTAGATTGACTGGAATACAAACTAAAAATTTTGGCCAATTAAGGTTCAGAAAAATGAAACGGGGTTGTGAACCCAGGTTCACAAAAGATGAACCGCGGGTCACTTTTTTTTTGTTGTTGCCCTAACATTAAATATGAACATCACTCGTAACTAGGCAATCTGCATGCTTTTTTGCGAAGAGTACAGTGATGATAATGCAACAAGATTGGCAAAAAAGATTGAACAACTTGGTGCTTTTAATGTGTGCTACGAAAATGATCCTAGGTGACCCGTTCTACTCACACAAGCTATAATAAATTCTCAGCCTAGCATTTTAAAAAGATACGACACTTCATCTAAAGAAACATACAATGACAAAACTACGTGAATGACGAGAACATCAGCTACACTTTTCAAATCTCCCATTTTATTTATATCACATAAAAAATTAAACATCTTTAAATCTTTGAATAGGTTTTGATCTACAATTGAATGCATTCAAAAGAGATGGGTTTTCCAAAACAGAGTGTCTCTCGAATACGTGGACTTTGTGCTTGTACGGCAAGGTGTCAATAATGATTGTTTTTAAGTTTTCGTGGTTTCTAATGAAAATATATATTGAGCATTAGGTTCACTTAACACATTTCTCAATAAGACTTACTCAATGAAGGTTGTTAAGTCATTGGTGTTTATGGACAGCCTGGAAAAGTCAATAGCCACAAGGCAAACGTTTTTTTCTGACGATTGAATATACGAGATCATGGCTAACGAAAAAAGATTAACATTAATAAATTGTTAAATAGCTGAAAACGTTTTTATACCTTGAGTGTTTCTAAACACGCATTCCAATCCATTTGACAAATCGTTGCTTTCATTCATATCTCTCGACGTAAGAGGTTCATCAGCAACTGAATAAGGTGACACAAAGATCTTGTCACATAACGATCTCTCTTGTAAACACTTCACCATGTGATTTAAAAGTGTTTTCCTGTTTTCATTGCTTTCGCAACCTGGGGATTTCCTAGTATATCCAATGATGGAAAGTTTTTGTTTCTTCAAAGATTGAATGTAGTTGTGGTAACGAGGTATATGATTGCGATGGCTTCTACAACATTGTCTAAAAATAAACAAATTAACACGCATATGTTTTTGTAAGTAGGTCAACGAGTTGTTACCTTGGTATTCATCTTTCATGACATAGAGTTTTCAATAGCGCTTATTGGATTCTCTTTCCCTTTTCCGGCTGATCGGCACATTCATGAAATCCACTTTTCTTTTTGAGCACCACAAAGCAAAAGCTACCTCCAATTTTCCATTCAAATATTGGTTTTTTGGAATGACTGACATATACACGTCTTTCATCGTTATATTTTCAAGAGAATAGCAAGCATTTTGTGGTTCAACGTAGGGACGAAACGCTTCATTTAGAAATGATACCACTTATGATTCCGAATCTGTTATTCAATATTTTAGTGTTAAAACAACTTGTTCAATTAAGAATAATATATCAGCCATTGACCTTACTTACCAAGTTCGAATTTTATATTTTATTTCTTTTCAATATCAGGCTGTGAACGTGCAGTGAGATAACGTTTGAAAGTGAATGAATCGTTGCGAATTACAAATAAATTGGCAAGAACGGGTCGCCTGGGATCATTTTCGTAGCACACATTGAAAGCACCAAGTTGTTCAATCTTTTTTACCAATCTTGTTGCATTATCATCGCTGTACTCTTCGCAAAAAAGACATGCAGATTGCCTGGTTACGAGTGATGTTCATATTTAATGTTAGGGCACCAACAAAAAAAAAGTGAACCAAGGTTCACAACCCCGGTTCATTTTTCTGAACCTTGATTGGCCAAAATTCTTAGTTTGTAATCCAGTCAATCTAACCAATCTAACCTGTCTGACCATCTTTTTTTATTTAGTTTTGCTATTTTTTTATAACCTGTCCTTATTGAGACACTTGCCAAAACATTTGGCAGAATGAGAAACAAAGCCTGAAATCACTCAGATACAAGCTATCGCAAGCCTCACTAATCCTAGTCATGAGCGATTCTTTTTCCAGGAACTTATTTCGCTTAACCTTGCTCTTGACAACCGACTAGAACTGTTTAATTGGATTTAGTTCTAGAGAGTATGGAGGAAGGTAGACAAATCGATAACCTCTAGAGTGAATATATTTCCCTATATCTGTTGAGCTATGAATAGCGGCATTATCCATGACAAGATGATGTCCTTTCAATTATAGATACTTATCCATTTCATCTAGAGTTGCCTTTAAAAAGCTCAAATAATGTCCTGTCACTGTTCCTATGCTATAACCATCAGTTTCGCGTCCAAGCTTTCTCTTTTTAATGCGCTTTGGAACTCTCAAACTAACATTAATTAAACCAGTGGCAGATATTGCACCTAAAATCGATGTTGCATTCGCTTTCGTTGTAGGCACTGTAACTATTGCAGGAGTTCCCTTCTTTGACCAAGCCATGCCTCGTTTCACGTTAATATGAAAGGCTGACTCGTCAAGAAAGACGCAATTTGTTGTGAAATCCATATCAGTTTGTTGCTACTTTTGTACCCAATTGTACCTTTGTTGAATTTTTTTTTTCTACAGGTTAGAATTGTGCCTGCTTAATAGATATATTACACTCAGTTGTCATGAAGTTATAAATAGTGCTACGAGAAACACTAAGATCCGCAAAGTTTTGTGTCAAACTTTTGATACTTGAGTTACAACAGCAGAAGGATTCTCATCAATGTAATTTAAAAGAAACTGCTTATGCTCTTCTCCAAGAATACGACGCCGACCTAACTTTTTCTTCTTCTCGAAAATGCTTTCAGGATCTTCATAATAGTGTTTGACCCATCTCTGTGCTGCTTGGATATGAGTACCTAATTGTCTCGCAGCAGAAGAAGCATTCAAGCATTTGCTGAAAAATAAATAAAAAAATCGAGTTTTATCTTCATCAGAATAAGTTGTATAGCAGCGCTTGTTGCATTGCTCCATATAAACATCCTCACTACTCCTCTCATCCGCAATGACACGCATTACAGGATTATGAGGTCTCTCAGGAGGTTTATTTGCTAGGAATTGCATACGAGAACTTATTGTTTCGCTAGCGAATAACTCCTCGTCAACAACAAGATCCATGGGCTCAACTCCGTTCTCAATAACAACATGTCCTTGTCCATCTTCATAAAAAATTTGCATATCCATTCTGAATGTCTGTAAAATAAACGAAAATAGGTAAAAGAAACGCAAAAGGAAGCAATAAGAAGATCGTGCCTATTTTATAAAAATAAAATGCCAAGAATTTTTATTAGATAATTACTAAGCGACAAGTAGAAATAAACGAAGTTCATGTCACGTGAATGCGTCTTTATTTTTGGATCAGTCGACATTGTTGTTAGACAGGCAATTTTTTGGTATGACATCAAACTCAAAATCAGCAACTCTACTTTCTGAAATGACTGTATACCATCCTCATGCAGTCGCGCAGTCATTGCTTCTGAACCAAAATGGCCGAAGGAATGTGCTGTCAGTAGTAAATCTTCGCATTCGTTTTCTGGTGGTACTAGCATTTCCTGTAAATCAGCACTTGTATACGCTTGACGGTTGTATAAATGTCGGTTTTTTCTTATGCGTGGTGCATTACCCCCTTCCAGCTCTTTTTTAGTATGAAAAAGGTGAGAAAGTCGATCGGGGAGGATGTTATCAAGGCCGGGTAGATGAACGATGTCGAAATTATATTCAAGCAACGTATCCAACCAGTTGATCATCATAGGATTGGCGATTTTTTGTGTATGCAGATACGTAAGAGCTTTGTGGTCTATGTACAGGGTGAAGTGGTTTCCCCAAAGATATATATGGAATTTGCGTAATGCAAATATTACGGCTCCTAGCTGTCTTTTTGTGGTACTCCGGTTCTGCTCGGATTTGGATAAAGCGCGTGCCATGAATGCGATATAGCGAGTCTCTCCATTGATTATTTAGTATAGGCAGGCAGCAATACCAGACTTGGATGCATCAGTGGAAACTTGGAATGGATGGCGCAAATCCGGATAGCGAATAAATAGTAAGTGTGTGATTAACTTTTTAAGTGTGAGGAATGTGTTTTCCTGTTCGTCTGTCCAGACGTGCTCTAAAGATGTTTCATTGCGTAGCTTATCTAATGGAGCTATGATGGTGGACACTCTAGGAATATGGTCCCGGAGGTATCCTATAACTCCCAAGAAACTTTGAAGTTGTTTACCTGTACGAGGTCGCTCTATTTGCTATATGTTGGTCACCTTCCTTGTATCTAAGGTGATGCCTTGGTCGGAAACGCAGAAGCCAAGCAAATAGACACTTTTTTGTGCAAAGTGGGATTTTTTGATGCTGATCCCCAGGTTGACCTTGGTGAGTTGATCGATGACCACTGCCACATGTTTAGCGTGTTCCTCTATTGAATCTGAGTATATGATAATATCTTCAATGAAGTTACTCATGTGATCCTGCATCCCTTGGAATAAGGTAGACATGCATTTTTGGAAAACAAATGAAATGTGACGGATTCCAAAGCAACATCCGCGATGTATGTATTGGACACCATCGAAGGTGAAGGATGTGATAGGTCTGTGTGGTTCATAGATGGGTAATCTGTTGTAGGCGGACGTTATGTCAATGGTGGTCATTACCTTACATTTGTGTAACCGCGAGAAAATGTCCCGACACAGAGGTATTTCATTCCATATTTTGCAAGTGTTTATTTATATGACGAGTGTTAAGGCAGACTCGACGTTTGTCATTTGTATAATTACCGAATTCATCTTTCTTGGGTGTGAGAGTGAGTGGGCTATTCCATCTAGTGTTAGCTAGTGCTTGTACTATAGTACCATTCTCTAACCATGTATTAATAGTGTCTCGCACAGTTTGTGTATGTGCAATTGGTAAATCATACTGCCAATGCCAAGATATCAATCCTTCTGGCATATCAAGCCGTACTTCTGCTTCAGGTAGAGTACATAACGCTGTTGGGGGAATATTCGCGTTGGCATTGAGATAAGGCTGAATTGCCTGCATGAACTCTTCCTGCTCTTCCTTTGTTCCTGCTAGTGGGTTATTTGGTTCGGGTGCATCATTAACAACTGTTTTCTTTTCCTCCTGTTGTGCATTCACAGAAGTAGGGAAGTTGTGCTCTAGACCAGTGATACCAATACCAAGTGTAGGAGCAAGATTCATGCCTACTGAGATGGGTAAATCTTCATCTGCAAGTTCCATGACATAGAAACTATGTGTAAGTTCTTTGGTACCATAGACAATGGGAATGTTCTTCACAATTCCATATATGGGAGCAGTTTTGTCTTTTGAAGCAAGTGTAACAGGTTCGGTAAACTGACTTTTATTTATGACAAAATTCTATTTTTTGGCTAAGTTGATGTCTATATAGGATGCGTTCGCTCCAGTATCAAGTAGGGCCAGATGCTTGTTATTCTGTAAAAACATGGGTAAGATAATAGAGTCAGTTTGTGCCTGTGATAGTGAGGAACTCCTGTTGCTTAAATGTGTCTTACATTGTAAATCTAGCTGGGCCATATCTATGTTGAGCCTGTAGCCTTCTTCCTTGTTTGCATCCTCGATCTCTGCTGTTTCGATGCAGGTAGCTCGGTTCTTTAAAACCAGTGGCTGTTGATGTTGCTGTTGCTTGCCCTTGACCAAGAAAAACTCCTGGCACTTATGGCCTGGTGTGTATGGCACCTTTTTGCAATACCGCCATAGGTTATTTGTGTTATTACTGGCGCTGTTGGTATAGTTGCTGCCTGTGAAACCAGGACCTTTGCGGTTGATCAACGTTTTGAGGAGATCGCAGTCTCTCTCATTGTGATTGCCTTTAGGATGAAGGCGGCAATGCCTTTCTTGAGCCGTTTGCTGCTGTCCTGGTGGAGACCATGAGCCATGTGCAACGACTTATTACCCTTGTGGCCGCACTTGCGTGGGTGTTGGACCTTTACCTTTTCATCATCAGACGACGACGAATCAGATTCGGCTTCATTATTTTCCCCAATGCTTGTCATGATAAGCTGGGTAACCTATGAAAGGTTGTTGGGCTGTTTCAACCCGTAGTAATTGGTAATAACCTGCCATGCTCGTTCACGGATGGTCTTGACCAAGGACGAAACGTAATTCCATACTAGCTCCTCGCCATCCTCGAGCCCAGCATCAAACACAACCTCCTGGAAACGCTCGGTGTACAAGTGGATTTGCTCGCCCTTCTTCTGGTGCATGCTGCGTGCTTCGTACCATTTTTTTCACACATTGAAAGGGTTACCAAACGCCTTTTCTAACTGGGATCGTACTTGATGCCAAATATAGTTCCAGTCTGCCAGTGTTCGATCAAACCACGACCGTTGCAAGTCGTTGCATGTAAGCCAAAATAGCCTTTCTGAGTGTTCCTCGATTGGTAGTTCGTGCGCTTTCAGCTGAACTTCGAATGTGTTCAAAAATGCCTTGACAGATTCATAGACTTTCTTGTTCTTGTCCCACAGGGGTCCACCGCGGAGTTGGAAGGCCGGCAAGTCCTTGGGCACAAGCATTTGTTTCTTGCTCTTGACCGCCTCCGATTCTTGTTGGGTTGCAACTTGATGCATTGCCATCCTTGTTCTTATAGCGTTCTTGAAGGACTGTTGGGCTGTCACCGCTCAGTCTAGCTGCGCCTGTGCATAGTCGCCCAGTTCCTTATTTGTTGGCTCGTTTGTCAATGCATACACCAATTTGGCATATGCGGCGTCTACTTATTGGCG